TAAACTACACCTTCGTCTTCATGTGATCATTTGGTTGTTGTTTCATTGACTTTCTCGGCTTTCATAAGAACTGGTGTTGTTTTATGTGTACAAAACATAACATTGCGGGGGAGCCGCTGACCGCGAGGCCGAGCGCCCGCAGGTAGCGTGACCGGGGCGTGACCTCGTCTCGGAGGTCAGGTCGACCGGCAACTAAGAGATCCTGAGTGGAACAGCCGTGTCTAGTGATATGCATTTGATGTTCTTTTCATGTCGCCATGCTAATACTGTTTACAGTTGTTGTTAGCTCTAAATGATCAGGTTGATTTTGGAATAAGCGAATGTAGCTGTACATTTTAGATTGAAAGATACCGTTTATCTGATCTCAATGATAATTCAGCCTAAGTTTTGTATTCTACTGAAAAATTAGATACTGAATAGTGTCAGAAAATTGTCATCATTAACATAAGATAAGAAAAGATAAATAAGATCGTACTTTATTGTCCCAGAGGGAAATTTTTCTTGGCTGTACAGGACCGTAAAAACACTTGCAGGTATACCTAAAAATTAAATTATAATGTTACTCTCATGAAAATTCAATGGGAAAAAGAAAAGTAAAGCTGACAAAATGTACATATCACATCAGATGCATCATTCAACCACGTGCAGGAATTTAATTACAAGACCTTTGGAGCTATATAGATACCCTCGAAAAGCAATATGCATTGATGTTTATTCTGACAGTAGCCTTATACTATGTGGTAAGAAACTTCTTTTGTATTTTTCTTTCTTTGTTTTAAAGGTACATATCTGCTGCTGCATGATCTTACAATTTGTGTGGAAAAGGGGTTTGATGGGTCGTTTATAATGCTGATTTTCTTTATTATTATACTTGTGATCTTATACATTTAATCAATTCTAGTAAAATCATATCCAGAGATCTTGCTGGCTTTTTAAATGGTTCTGTCAAATTTTAATTTATCTTTCACCCTACAATTCCCTATCCAGCAGCAAATACAAAATAGTAACACACTTCCAATCATAGAATGGTATAAAAGGGACATAATCTTATTATCTATACGGAAACTTTATAATTTCCTTTTAAAAGGAACATTCTTTGATTTATTTTTTAATCCAAAAGAGCAGCTTGGGGATGCCAGTCAAGCTTGTTATCAATTGTTATTCTAAGTATAACCTCCACTTCCTCGTCTTTAATAAATAGTGGTTGCAAAATTGGTCTTTTTAAACTCTAAAGTCTGTTTAAAAGGAACTGCTATTTCCAAGCTATAAAGTGGATACATTGGGTTTGTATTTACTTTTTATTTTAATTGAGGATGTCATTGTGCTGGAGGGACAAAGAATATCACAGCGAATGAAAGTCTCAATGACTCTAAATAGCAACTTACCTTTTTTAAGGTTGGCAAATTTGTGTCTGCAAATGAAATTCTTGTAATATTGCTGTTTGATTATTATGTTATTATGCTGTTGTATGGTAATGATTTTTTACATTTCCTTCACTTTTTTGTTGTGGTTCATGGCTTTTGGAACATTTGCAGAATTTTGTTTCCTAGAGGCACTGTTTTTCAATAAATTTTGTGATATCTTTTTACTTAACAGAATGAAGAGCAACTTGGTGCAAAGTCAGATAAACACAAGCATTTTGAAGTGGAGTACAGGTATTCCTTTTTCTTATCTTTCCTCGTTCTTGTCTGTTGATTGTGGAGTGATTTGGGATTTGGGTCCGGGGGGAGGGGGGGGGGGGGGAGGGGGGGGGGGAGAAAGAAATAAAAGGAGGGAGGGAAGGAGAGAGGAGAGAGCCAATAGTCAGAGATATAACACTGCCAAACCTTTCTGGAAAAAAAGATACAGCCCTATTAAAGTCATATTGTATCCCTAAAGTACAAGCACTGTATGCATATGTGTTTTGTTGTTGAAGAGGTCAGTAGTTGAGAAAGTCAAGCATAGACTTAATGAATTAAGTTATTTTACTTTTTGCTGCTTTAAATTTTACTTCTGAAAGTCACAAAACCCAATGATGTCAATGGCTGGAGTTTCTGTTGAGGAACGGAATTGTGTTAATAATTTTGTGACTTTTATTTCACAGATGTCCTAGATGCCCTATGGTTTGTTATCGTCGTGCTAACTTCACAAGACATCTCACTGCAAAACACAAGTTTAATCATCTGAATGCTGCTGCCTTGAGCAAATCACTGGAGCGGCCTACTTCTCGTGGGGTGAAAAGAAAACTTCCAACATACCCAAGCACCCACATGAAGCAGAGACGACTACTGCTTCAGTCTATTGGTGGAGAAAGCCTGAAGTGTTCTCATTGTTCTTACTCTGCAAAGTGGCCAAGTGACCTGCGGCGTCACATGCAGGTGCATACCATTGTGAAGAGGTTTAAATGCTCTCTCTGTCCCAATAAGTACAAATACTATGGAGACCTCAATGTGCACATGAGGCGGGACCACAACGCCGAGCCGCCTGCCAATGTCTCTAGGGAGGTCACAAGGAATGAGGATGTTGTCAAAAAAGCCTCCCCGGCTGCCTTCCGGTGCCCGATTTGCTCCTTCTGTACTCAGTCTAAGGCTGAGTTGGAGCAGCACTCTCGCACTCACGGTGACATGGAAAAGACGTATCAGTGCCGCTTGTGTAATTACCAAACATACTGGCGAGGTGATGTAGGTCGTCATCTTTATCGGCACCATAGTGTGGTGCTCAGCAAGGAAGCCTCAGAAATGACAGAGTATTTTATTTACCGCCCGCACATCAGACCCATTACTAAGCAGCCTCATCTTGCTGGATCGACAGCGTCCTTGGAACAGGAAGGAGCCATAGAGGGTATAGGTACATCTTCATCCGGTGTTGTCCCACTGGTAGTAGGGGAAGAGGATTCAAGTGCCAGTATTAGCCAGCGACCCGCGACCAGTGTAGTGTGTCTCAAGGAGGGCTCTTTTGTTTGCGAGTACCCCAGTTGTGACTTCAAGACGTCCACATCAGACAGGATGGAGGCTCATTTAGCTGTCCATTTGAATCTCAAGCAATTCATGTGCCCCGTCTGTGGCAAACGGACAAACTGGAAGTGGGATGTGGTCAAACACTTGAGCAAGGTCCACTCGAAAGCCTATGCATCTGTTGATGAAGTGATTACTTTACCCATTGAAGAAGCTAAAGCCACCATTGATGAGTATTTAAACACTATGGAAAGGAAGCAGAAAGAAATGTCTGTGAACCTGTGCTCTTTGTGTGATTTCCGCTCCCATGAAAGAAATCGTGTGGTCAGACATTTGGGTACTGATCACAAGAAAGAGAGTGGCAAAGTGATTACACACATTATCTCTAGCCCAGAGGAATATGAGGCAAGTGTAAATGCCGAGAGGGAGAGAAATCTGTCGCGAGAGAAGAAAGTTCCTAATGAGAAAATGTTGGGGGAAAATCTGAAATATGTCAAAGTTGAGGAAGTCCAGAAAGTAACCAAATTTGAGGAACCACCTTTAGAAGAGCTGGCAAGATATGACCACCCTTATGCCTGTGCCATCTGCAAGAAGCCTGGGCTCAATAAAGGGGATGTGAAAAAACATTATAACTATGCGCATCCTTACAAAGAGGTAAGAGTGCTATATATACCTACTGGTACTGAATTCAACTATGACACAGGGGAGGTCTATCAGAAGTCATCAAAGCGTGACCTTGGTGATAGCATGCTTGACTTAGACCTTCAGGGCTCCCCGAGTAAGATGATCAGGCCTGATTCAAAGTTTAGCAATCCCAAAATGCATGGATATGTGAAACCTTTTAAGTGCTCAATATGTGGCTTGCGTTCCAATTGGAAGTGGGACCTGAAAAAGCATCTGAGGTCCAAGCATCCGAACAAGGGAGGCTTTGTTATCATGCTCTCCATAGAGGAGGCCCAGGAAACATACGGCACTGAATGCACCCTCAGTCACCCCAAACAAGAGGATTTTTTGTCTGCCACTCGGGCCTCCTCTGGCCAGACCTCTCCAGTGTCCTCTTTATCATCACACAGTGAAATGCTCAAACCAGTTTTTGATAGTGGAATGGTCACAGGTCAAGAGGACTATTTGTCCAATGCACTAAGGGGTCGGGATAAGGTCACCAATGTGGACCCTAATCGTCGTCAGTGGAAGTGCTCTGGCTGTGACTACATCTCAAACTGGCGCCGCAATATGGCCAGACACATTCACAGAAAGCACTTGGAGCAGAAGGACTCCATCAGGGTGATTCCCCTGCATCCACCTTCAAGGCAGAGCAGAGAGGCCCAAGGTGGGCAAAATCTCATGGACAAGTTCCTGCAGCAAGGCCTGCCGACCATGGTGAAGATGGAGACGCATCCCATGGACATCAATCTTCTGAAGGAACGCAAATCTAGCTTGGCTCAGCCAGACAACCGCATCTGGCGGTGTCCAGAGTGCCCCTTTGTCTCACAGCTGCGCACACACATTATAGTGCATATGCAAAAACACGAAATGAAACCTTTCAAATGCGGTGTTTGCCATCTCCCTTTCATGAATCGGGGTCCTCTCCACAGGCATATTCAGAAGTTGCATCGCCGGTCAGACTATGTGAAACTGAGCAAACTCAATATCAAGTATGATGATAATGCTGAAATTAAAGTGACAGAGAAAGGGGCTTTGGTGAGTTCGTTTCTGTGCCGCCTGTGTAATCATGAGTCTTGTGACCGGTCTAACATTGCCAACCATCTGTTGGAGGTTCATAGCTCCCAAGACCCCGAAAATATTTTGAAAGTGGAAAAAAACCTTTATACTCCCATGAAACCAAACCTTGAGTTTAAGAGCTTGCCTCGGCCTGATCCACAGAAAGCTGGAAATCGCAAATTCCATTTCTGCCCTCTGTGTCCTTACAGAAGTCAGAAAAAATCAATGCTGGCATTTCACATGACTTATCACCGTCCTTCAGCAGTGAACCGATACAAGTGCAAGTACTGCAATTACTATGTGAGCACTGTTCGCCTGTTGCACCAGCACCAAAGGAAGTGGCACAGTGACCCAGCAGCTGCCACCCCTGAGCAAGAGCAGCATCTGCCTGAGTCTCCTTTGAGGAACTGGGCAGTTGGCACTGAAGGCACACCTGAGAAACAGACAGGAAGTGGGTCTGCACGACGCCATTGCTGTGAAAAGTGTCCATACACAACCAACAGCAAGAACGATTTTATTTATCACAAGCAGGTGAGTCACTGCTCTACTCAGTAACCAAAATGTTATTAAACTTATGTTGGTGGGTGGTTGACGGGTGCTCTGGTGTGGTTTGCTTCTTCTTTCCTATCAAACATCTATCGTCCTTGTCTCCCCTTCTTCTTTTTTATGTTTGTTACTCTCTTGTAACACCTCTAATCTTTTGACGCTCATATGACCTTATGCAGTTGCGAGCGCCGTAAAACCTCTACTATACCTACCTAAACTTATGTTGTGGGTTCATTTGTATTAAGTGTATCGTTAAAATGTAGCATGCATTCACATGTATTTGAGAGGCATGTGCACAAGAGGAAGTTCAACAGCACATCAAACTTGAACATGTATTATAACATTTAGTGTCAATGCACCCCTCGACGCTTAACGGCAACAGAGGATTAAAAAGTCGAAGAAAAAATAAAGTGTCAATGTTGGATAAAGCAGATTGATTTTTTGTAATTCATGTTTGTAATGCAAGTTCACTTTCAGTATCACTGCGGGAAGAAACTCTGTGGTTTTAGTGATTAGTGTTTGTTGCATCCATTCCCTTTCAGTTTCATCGGCCAAAACGAACAGCTGAATTTAAGTGTGAGCACTGTGACTACTGGGTGGTTCACAAGAGGCTTCTCAAACAGCACATGCGTCTGCACACTGGAGCCACGAGCCCTACTGCAGGGGCACTTTCTCCAGAGCTGTCACCAGCAAAATCTCTTTACTCAGGTACAATTTTTTGTTGTGTGTAGACTTGAAACTTAATTAAGCCCAGTAATGAATGAAGATAAATAAAGAAATAAATGATATATTCAGTGATTTAGACACCACGAGACTGTTCTGGTTTTAATTTTGTTTTCCTTTGATAATAACTTTTGTTTCTGTGATATATGCTTCCTGGTGTATACCTATCTTCGATAACCTTTTGATTGTGTTATATAAAATTTCAGCACCTGTGATGAGATTAACTCAACATTTTAAAAAGAATCTTATTACGAGTTCCTTGGCTTCTTGAGAATACAGGTGTCAAGGTTTATGTAATGTCATGACATCCCATTTTGCTAATAAGTGGTGTTGGTGGCCTTGTTGCTAGGCTTCTGGACTCGAGGTCATGGGTTTGATTCCCCTCTGTGCTGGATCTGACCTGTATTAAAGAAAGACTTTTTACTTAATTTCTTTACTCATTCCACCCAAGTTTGAATAGGATGCCAGCTTCGAATGGGTGATAAACTTTCTAAGTAATGGATGTAAATGATTTATGATCGTTTGCTCCACTTCATACGATGAAAATAGGTACAAATTCTAGTGTAAGGCAGAGAGACAAACAACTACACCTCCTGCGCTGCTCCTGTTGTATGGAGTGATCAAGCTTTAGGCCAATGTCAAAATTCACTACCTTGAGAAACTCACTGTCCAATGTGAATGGCACTGGGGTAGTGATCTGAAGCGGATGGGACACATTGTGATTAATACATAGTGCAAAATTTCATATGGCAATTGAAGAAAGGTAGTAATTGGTCTCTTTTAAAGACAAGCGGGCTAACCCAGATTTCAGCGGTTTCCAGAAATCTTGACATGCTCCAAAAGTGGGCATTGCCCTACCTATAGGAGAAGTTTGGTTTCATTAGTGTGTATATTTGTTTGGTTATAGAGAAAACTCTACTTGTCTTTTAAAGAAACTTTACCTTAGATTTTCTCAAAACAGCATTTTTCGGGATAGCCCCCTTGTGCTTAAAAGCGACCAATTAAGAATCAAAATTAACACTTCAAACCTCTGTAACTGTTTGTAAAGAAACAGATATAACCATTTACCAATAGCGATGGCAAAGTTTTACTCAAGTTTTTAACGCAAAAATCTTTAAAGAACCCTGATCTTTTTTATATATCCAACATTACTTTTTAGACAGAAAATGAAAGCATACACTTTTTGCTGACGACCAGAGGTACCATGTCTTTTTGGGAGACACTGAAAGTACACTTACATGTTACACACACAGGATAGGCAGGCTTTCAGACATTTTAAAAGTTCTTGCTCAGGCTCTGTGGGGCGTGAAGGAACTTATTGTTTATTTAGTGAATGTCCTCCTATGCCATTTTCTTGATAATTTTTGGGGTCATATTTTGTGCAGTCTAATTAGTCGGTGGTTCGTGTGGTTTTCTCCTTCTTTCCTATTAAAGGTCTATTGTTCTTATTTCACCTTCTTTTTGTGTTTGTTACTCTCTGGTAACACCTTTAATTTTAGGCACTTATGTGACCTAATTGTGTTGAAAGTGCCGTAAGACACTTATTAAAGCAGTCCAATGGTACTGACTGTTGTTTGAAGGTGGTTGGAAGGTGCCTTTGGGAGGTTTTACTTCTTTTATTTCCCTCTGTAGTCTTTGTCTCACTTTCTCAGCATACTTAATGACCACCCCTCGGGGTGGTGCCCCTGACTTGAAGTGTCTTTAGGCCATTCCCAAAGGGGGGACATTTCTCGTTCATGCACAGTAGAATTGTAAATGGGCTGATTCATCAATGTCACGCTCATAACTGTGCCTGATCTACAACAGGGAACTGCTGCTTTTTCTTTCCTATTCCTTACTATTGTCATTTTTCCTCTACTTCTTTTGTATGTTTGTCACACTCTTGTGACCCACTATTTCCAGGGTGCTTTGATAGTCGAAGCAGACTTTGTGCTGTTGAAGCTAGAGAGGTGAGCAGAGTAAGTCTGATTCCCTGTAAGGACTTCTCTGTTGACATCCACCCCTTGGCGTTCATATGACCCTATGCAGTTGCGAGTGCCGTAAAACTTCTACTAAAACTAAAACTAAAACATACTTAATGACCGTTGATGTGCTTCTCACACTTGAGTTAACAAATGAATGTCCTCACTTTGTGGATTCTTTGTGCAAATGTTTAAGTTAGGCATTTCTTTAATCTCAACAGTGTCGTGTATTTATTGGTTTTGAGTCTGTGCAAATGTTGAAGCTCGGAACTTTATCAGGTGAAGCAGGCTCATAATTATAGATTTGTTTTGAACTGATATTTCAGATCCCGGCCTTGTGTATGATCCGGTGGAACTGTCTGAGCTGGCAGCGGTGAAACAGAAAATGATCAGCGACAAGATCACAGCCAGCCTGTCAGAGCAACCCACAATAAGCCCCATGAAGCTGGCCACGCGCTGCTCAACCGACGATAAGCCTGGCTATGTTCTCAAGAACGGCATGTACCGCAAGCTGCACCGATGTCGTTTCTGCCCATACACCAATGTGCGTGCTCGCAATATGGGTCTTCACGAAATGATGCATGGGCCAAGGAAGAGCCCACATCCGCTTTTAAAGTGCCCATACTGTGACTATTATGTTGGCTCTAAGGGACTCCTTTCTCACCACATGAAGGTGAGATAGCATTGATGCCTTTTAATAGTATGTTATGTTGTTATTGTCTGTCTGTTGGTAATAACACAATTGTGGAAACTTGATTTGGGTTCTAGTGAAGTTCTTTTTTGGTAATTTTTTTTTTTTTTTGCGTCTGAACAATTTGTGTTAGGAAGTCTAGGATTTACAATGTCTTTGTGAATGTTGAATTTGACTTTCACTCATTCCCTAAATGACAAATTGTATGATGCAGCAGTTGTCATTAAGGCTCTCAACATGCCACATCATTTTGTTTCATAGTGTCAGCAAGAAAATTTGCTTCACCTACAATGAGACAGTGCCTGTTGTGAAAAAGGCCATCTTGAAAACTTTTGACTACTTATGTTTCATATACCATGTTCCTTTTTTGATTATCTGAATAAAAATTGTTTCATTCCATGCCTTTTAGCCATAGTTTTTGTGAAAGAAAAGAGAATAATCTTTATTATGATAGATCACAATGAATCATTTACGACTTCTGAAGCCGATTGTCATTTTTTTAATGCAACAAAACCCTGCAGACAGGTGTAGTTGACTTTTTTGTATCCTGCGTCATTGCTAGATGTTTTTGAGGCACCCTCTCTGTTGGCATACACCCTTAATCCCATTTGCAAAATGTGCTCCTCTTCACATTATGTGCAAAATTCACCATGTTGACCTTGCAATACTGACTTTGTCTGTTCAGCCATCACTTCAGCTGGCTTTGTTGAGAAGTTTTTTAGTCTGTTGTGGTAAAATGCAGTGTTGTAAGCAAAATATGATGTTCTTGCTTTTCTTTAATTTCTGTATGTCCTCATATTTGTAGGTTTTGGGCTCATGACTCCTCTCCGTGTCCCACCGTTCAATTGCTTACTTAGTGTGTCTTTTTCTCAGAAGGCTTTGGGGGGAAAATGTGCTGTGAAGTGCATCTTGATTTAGTGGTCACTGTTTAGCTTAGACAAAATGGTCTCAAAAATTGGGGATACATTTTTTTAAAGTGTTTGCTTAAGTTTAGTGTACTCACTCTTTGTTAGTCCGTGTTCTGCTTTAATATTTCTCTTGATTACAAAGAACGTGGTTGCCAATATTTTGACCAGTGTCAAGAAATTTTGTAATTATTATCTTTCGTATGTGACAGATTTTAATCCTGTTATGTATAACTTTGTTTGCTTGTGGTCTGCAGGTTCACCAGAAGTCCTATGGTGAGCGGCCTGATGGTGATGGTGACATGCAAGACTTCCCTGAAGCAAATGAAGACCACGATGATTTGGAACAGGACATAGCGCCCCAGCAAAAAGTAGGCAGTTAGAGGCATAAGGATCCTTTGCTGTGTATCAGGGCACATCGTTGAACTTGTTTTTATGCCAGCTGAAAGATTGTTATTGCCTCCCTTTTCGAAGCTCTGTGCTATAACAAGTTTTTTCTTCATCGTATTTAAAGTGATGGAAGAATAGTTTGAATAACGAATGACTACAATTAAAGAGTGAATATTTTTGACAAAGCTTTCGTTCAGACTTAGATTGAAATGTGAAACTGAATCAATGAAAAGTTCTCGGAGTTAAGATTATCAGAATTTGATCATTGAAGCAATTTGTGTGGAAATTGGTTTTGACCTCCTCTCTCTGTCCCAACGTATGCTTTTTAGTAATTGGTCACAAGTGCAAGTAAATGAAATGTTTACTTGCCAGGTGGACACACTGCTTCAGATCTCTCGGTTTAAGAAGTTTGGCTGTGAGAAGTGCCCGTATGCCAGTGGAAAGAGAGCCCATTTTGAGCGCCATTTGGAGCTGCATGGTTCCCGTCAGCGGTACACCTGTCAGTTCTGTGATTACAGTGTGCCATCAAACAACCTTTTGCTACAGGTAAATGTCAGTTAGAGCGAAATGCAGCGCAGTAGGAGAGTGCAGGATTAAAACTAGACCTACTGGGTTTGAAAGTTTTTTTGTTTTTTAAAATTTACTTTTCTTTTTGTGGTAATTGTCTTTTCCTTTTTAACCCTAACTCTGGCAAGGGCCGATTAAATCGGCCCATTTCCTGCCATGAAACTGGCAGGGCCGATCTCATAGGACCATATAGTAAACTGCTGCTTCTGCCTTCCAACTAAATATTTGGGGCTTCCTAAAGTGATTTCTGATTGGCTAAAAGGCTAACCTACAACCAATCAGAATATTTCTACCATTCTGGCTTAGGAGAAGAGTATTTTGCTTTCAAAACAGAGGGATGTTTTGAAAGCTTGTTGATCAGGTCACAAGCCACTAATGCCAATGTAGATCTATCACTTGTGTGGGTCTAAAATGGCCAAAAATCGATCTTTTTTGGATACATTTGAAAGTGAATTGACTAGGGAAAGTAATTCAGACACTGTTAGTGGTGGATTTATTGGTGTTCAGTCAAGATTGGGATTAGATCTGACAGACAATGGGGATACATTACCAGTTCTCATCCTGCCCCGACTTCTCTTTCAAATGGAACACTAGATTCTACTACTTTGGGAGTCTAATAGGGGCAGAAAAAGGAGAGCTATAGAGTAAAGTAGGTTCCTTTTGCTATACTAATTATTACAGACTACCAGCAGATTGCTGAAAACCACATGGTTGTACTTAGAGTGTTTTTATGTTGAGTTTGGTATAAAATTAGCGAGTATCAGCTGCGTTCGAAACAGACCACATGACAAATTGAAACAGTCATAACTCATTACCTGTTCTTCTCAAACCTATAAAACTATACATTTTCTGAAAGGTAATTGAAAAACCCATATTTCTGCTATCTCACATTTTTTATAACAAGGAATACATTAGATTGGTGAATATGCTAATGAGCATGTAAATTTTTTATGTCAGCCATCTTGGATTTCAAAGTTACATAACCCCTTGAAAATAAAATAAAATCATATGTTCAATGGTAAAATATAAAAGTTCATTCAATTATCTTTCAAAAAATATATACTTTTGTAGGGTTTTTATTTGATGCAAGTCCATAAATTTGATTTGTAAAGCATGTGCACGTTTTGGCTGACTGGCCCTGCCATTTCTGTTGAAACCATTTGCCAGAGTTAGGGTTAAGGACTAGTAAACCCTGACAATATTTTTTATACCGTTGATATTAATCATCACATTAAAGATTTCATGGGGGCTCTCGTGGCCTATAGGTTAGGTGTTCGCCTCTCTTTCAAAGGTCCCGGGTTCGATTCTGGGTAGCGACGGAAAAATTTTCATCTCTAAATTGTCTCCTTTCACCTCCTTTCCTGCTCTCCAGCAATGTTCTGTCGTCTGCTTTCGTCTCCACTTTCTGCCCCCACCCCCTCACCTTCTCTGGGCTCCTGGCTCTTTCTGCAGCCTTTCTACTGTTACTCATTGGCTCCTTCTTACTGCTGTCTTTCAGCCACACCCCTGATCTTCTGGTAGGAAAGATCTACACCTAGTCCTCTCGGATAAGGGTAAAAAAACTCTGAGGTCCGATGAGCAAGTTGCGCACGTTAAAGATCCTTTGGTGGTCCAAAATCGTTAAGAGTAGGCTTCGGCTGCCACCTGGGCAGAATTCAAAATTTCCTACCAACTAAAAATGTTTAATGTGTCCTGCGTGCTTGTTTGACCTTATGCAGTTGCGAGCGCCGTAAATCACTTGCCCCCCCCAAAAATGTTAAAAATTAAATTAAAGAAAAAATAAAAATTCATTTTTCATGTTTCTGTGGGCCTTGTCGATTCTTTGAGGTCAGTTTGACTGCCCATTTTTAATGCAATACAAAAATGTCAGCCCATGCCCTTTTCTGTCCTTATGAACTGTTGAAGGAGGTACATATTGTCGAGTGAGGTCTTGAGGTGAACTATCTGGGCTCTTTGTGATTTTTATTGCAAGGTGTGACTGGAGACACTTTGACGAAGACACTTGAGGCCTAATGAGCGTTGCAAAACCGCTTTGTGGAATGGTGTCATCATTACAGAGCTGATGAAATGGAATTTCGTGGTCTTCGCAATTTTTTTTTGTCATTCTGGTGTAGTAGCTTCTTGCACAAAGGTGAAGATTTTTCTTATTTTCCTTCTTTATCAATGGTACATATTTTGTAAATCTTCTGTTTTGACTAATACATTGACATAGTTTCAAGTAAGGTATGCCACAAATTATCAGTTATTTTTCACCTCCACATTTCCCAATTTGGCAGCACACCAAACTCCATCTGATGCCCAACCAAAACCTGTTGCTGTCGCAGTCTATCAACAACCTTCAGCAGCTAAGTGATGTGCCAGCGGACGTAGCACTGGCCTCTGCCTTACCACCGGCCGACGCTCACAGTCCGGTGACTATAAGCGTAGTCCACGACCATCTTGGCCTGTATGAGAATGGGTAAGCTAGCTCAGGTCCCTGCATATTAAGGTAGTAGTTGTAATAATCAAAAACGAAACTCAGGTATTGTGCTTTGTTATGTGTACATACAGAATTAATGAAAAAACGAAGGCAATTATGGGGTACCATTTCATTTCACAAGGAATTTAAACATGAAGCAAGTTGTACTACTGGTTTCATTTGTTTTCCTTTCATTATGAAAATTTAGATCTTATTTTATTGTGAAGCACCTTTAGCCACAAGGGACTGGGCACTAGAGTAGTGATCTTTATTGTTGTTATTATTATTATTATCGTATTAATATTTGTTTATAATGTGGTAGATGCTTCATGGCTCATATGTTCTTAGGGTTTTGATTGTGTACTGAAATTTCAATTAACTTGATGAGGCATAGCTCAACATTTAGGTTGAAGATTTGGAATGAAGTAGCAATCTGAGGAATAGAGGGATAAGAGTTTACATAGTGTTATGTTCACAGACCTGCCACGCATCCCGATTTTCCCGATTTCGTTTGTGTGTATCCCAATTTTTTGTCGTTGCGTTGGATTCGTAGAAGAAAAAAAATTGTGCCTTATCTTTTGTTGGTAAAATCGAAGTAGTATCGATTAGAAATTCTGACTTGGATACTCTCAAAATCTACTTTCGCTTTTGTTACCCAGAATTCTCCGGTTTATGGCCTGATTTCTTACAATTATTACATAGATCATCAAGTAATCATTATTATTTGTTGTTCTGCCATTGCTTTAAAAGCAAGCCTCGTCGAAGTTGTGGTTGGTTGGGCCTGTCATCAAGACCTGTCAAGGAATCTTTCAAACCCGCGTTCGCATCCTGTGTGATGGCCTTGTGTGAGTAGCGTGTGTGTCGGGGACCATTGATTGTCCGGGACTGTCGGTTGTCGGGTTCAACAAAGTTCAACTGGTGTCATCGGTAGAAGTATCTTTCGGGACTTACCTGGGCGGGGGGTTAGACTTTTGGGCTTGCAGTGCTTGATGTAGTACATGTAGCAATTCAGGATAAAGGAACAAGGAAAGAAGAAAAAAAAGAATCTTGGAATTAGATTTTAGATTTGATTAGAGCTGAGGTCTGTGCAGAATGGCGCGATGGTGATGCCGTGAGTGTGTACGCGATCGAAGTCATACCTTGTCACCACGTGAAAAGGCGGGCTTATTGCATGGGTGATTAAAGTTATGTGTAAGCTATTTTCAAGACTACGAGAGTTTCAGCATCTCTGTAACCTGTGCTCCCCAGTATATCTGACTCGAGTACATCCTCTCTTTAATTTTTTTGCTTTTCCTTGGGACCCAAATCTGAACTTATTCCAGAAAAAGTTTTGTCTTGCATGGTTGCCTTACAAAAGGGAACCGAGACACCCCCCACCCCATGCCCTTTATGACTGATTTGCCGTTGATCCTGATTATTTTCATCAGGTCCTTATTTTTTTTCTCTGAGATCCTGATTTTCAGATTTCATAGAGTGGCAGGTCTGTGATCATGTGACATTGAATTCCTGTGTGCTATTCAGTGGTGTTGGGGGCCTTATCGTTAGGCTTTGGAGCATGATTTAAAGGTCATAGGTTTGATTTACTCTCTATGCTGGGTCTGACTTATCTGACTGGTATCACTAATTGTAGATGAAACTCTGCAGTGCATGTGTCATCCAATGACACTAGCTATGTAGTCTAGGATTGGAGACAGTAGCTGTTTAAAAAAAAAAAGATTTTTCGTACAGCTGTTTTCTGTTTTTGAGTTAGATGTATTCATGTTTGAATCATTATGTACTTATCAGTAGCTTTTCAAAACTATGAACTGTCTCTAACTCATGTCTCCTTTAACAGCTTTGCATGGATATGCCTTTGGGATTTTTTATTTGCTTGTTTGTGATTGAAGAATTACCTATGACTTAAAAAAAAAAGAAGCCTTTTTTACCTTTTTCTATATAAGCGTAAAAATTCCTTAGGTTTTTTGACAAAGAAGGAAAAATTCTGTTGATCTCAAGATGTGAACTCTTGTTTGATAATGTTTTACAGTATTATGGATGCAGAACCGAAGAAACTGTACAGGTGTGACCGCTGCCCGTATGCCAACATACGTCGGGACTACCTGCTGTCCCACCTCAAATTTCACATGGTGTCTAGCTCTTTGGTGTGTCCTTATTGTGACTACAGGTGAGGTGGGGGGGCTGGTGTTTTGTTGTTTATTTCAAACCCTAAAAGTTTTTAAGGGGGATCACTATGGCTGTCTTTTGCAGTGTCACAGTTCAATAAATGATTAGGTGAGGGTAAGTTTGTAATAACAGCTGTTAGTATACAGTGCTTCCACTCTTCCGTATTTTTACGGAAATCCGTACTTTCTGCCGGTTCCGTAGTTGTTCCTCCATCATTATCAACTCCCTCTGTAAAAATCTGCGACTGCGTAGGACTACCGAAATTCCGTAGCAAAAGATCCGTACTCGCCTTCGTATCGTCTTTTATAAGTTACGGATATTTACAGTAATTCTCACGGCAATAAAATAATGTTATAGAAACCTGCAGGATTGCACATTTCCTGCCATCGGCCATTATTCCACTATGCCCCATGCATTCAGTGCGGGTTGGTCGGCGTACATTTTGATCAAAATCTGGCAAACTTTTTGTATCACTTTCCTCCTGTCTATCATTCCCTCATTCCGTCTGTCTATCTTCGGCGGATTGTTGCTGCGGCTGGAAAATCTACGAGTGGATCAAGTATATTGACTTGTGATCTTAGACAGAAAATTACTGTCAGAAAGTTTGTTGCTAATTTATTGTCTAGATCTAGAGAAATTATCGGTTCGAAGATTCTACGGCACGGGAACGCGATAACGGCCGCGATGAAAAAAATTTGTGCTAAAATTGCTAAAATTAAGAATAATTCGAAGTGGTGTTCCGAGGTTGTGACATGTGACATTTATAAGTGAAAATTGTGGAAAATTAGGGTATACGCTGGGTAACTGTATTGTGAAGGTACATATCATTTCATTATTCTCAGGTTTGTCTTCTATCAATGGTGCGATAACAAATTAATTGAATTACAGTAGCAATGGAAGGGGAACCTGCTTTTAAACATTGCCAGCAATTGAAAGATATGTAGGTGAAGAAATCAAACAAGACAAAATCTTGGTGAAAAAAAATAGGTTGTATGAGTTGTTGGTAATCTCTTCAAACAGGCTCCCAAATGCCATTTTTAACCCTCTAAAAACACTAAATTAAAATTTGTTAGGGGGCTTTGGCCCCTGAACCCCCAACTGGACGCTGTCCCTGGACCCTGCTGGGGGCCTGTACGGCTCCCAGACCCCCGGCAAAATTTTCTTTACTTTTCAGCTTCAGCTGGTGGAAGCACTGAGTATAGATAACTCTACCTGTAGAGACTGTGCTACCAGGTTGGAGTTTATTGTTATTACTTTTTGTCCATTAATGTCAATTTGGGCTCACACTTCTTTGTTTCTAGCCTTTTAGGGTATTGACTTGTTTGAGTTCTGTATTCAAAACATCATTAACTGGTCAAGTAATCTTTCTTTTCTTAGCTGTGGTTCAAACTTTCAAAATTAATTTGTCATTTTGTCACCTAAGCAGAGGCTAGGCTGAGATTTCTTAACAGGTGGGTCACAAGAGGCTTTTTTGTTGCCCACGAAGTCACCATGTTATGTTTTATGTTTTTTTCCTCCTTTCATTTATTTTGAGAGATGGTTACAGTAGATTTTCTACCATTCACTGTTGGGTATTTGGTTTTAAAAAGTCTTTGGGTTCGCCTACTAGCTTTGAATGCAGGTCTCATCCACTGTCATTTGACTGTGGATAATGTGACATGTACAACGTGTCCTTCTATAATGTATTATTCTCTCTTTCCATGGAATCACGCTGTAGCTTCACAATTAACCTTTGCTTTATTTTCTTACATAACCGTGCTTGCAGTATCGAATTCTCAATTAGAATTTGGAATGTTTTTTTTCCCACATACAGTCCATGAAGTTTCAGAACGTTCCTGTAGGCATCTTCTCTTTCCTCTCTCCTTATCTTCAAAAAGCTAATGTGGGTCCCTTTATTGCACCATGCTCATCAGACTCTCATAAATTTCAGTGCCCCCAAGCAGGCACTTCTCACGCAGCACATCCGAGTCCACTTTTGCCCGCTGCCTGAACTGTCTGATTGGTTGTTGGAAACGGGTCTGGGAGAAACCCATGCTGGGGCCCAGTCTCTGGATCTGCTGGAGGCTCTGAAGGTGGGAAGTTTGGGAATTTTTTAATGTCCTGCTGTGTGCTGTAGTGACATTAAAACCTGTAGTGAATATAGTTTTTGGCTTTAAACATTTAGATTATTACCTGAAAAAACATTCTCATTTGTGAGGCATCATGGTGAAATCAGGCTCTCGTCAAAATGGTGAAATCTTAAGATACTGGCATGTTTCTGTGGGTTTGACAATTTTTATCGAATTTTTTTTTTTAGCTCGGCAGCTTTTATGTCCATTAAAAAATATATTTCTATGTGGATTTTCCTGAAAAACGGTGATTAAAGCTAAAAAAATGTAAATTTTCAGTTTCCAAGGACCCTTAAGCATTTAAAGATACCAAGCTTTGGCAGCTATTTTCTTGCTTATTTTTCCTTGGAAATCAGGGGTCCTTATTTCATTCAATCACAAATGTTTTGACTTCCGTTAAAGATGGATGAGTATTTTTTTCAGTGAAAAATAGACAAATGAACAAGCTTTAAGATGGCCCAATAATTCCACATGCCCAAAAATTGATGAGTGCCTGATTCCACCACATAGTGACACATTTGTTTAAAAGTACTGTCTGCTTTTTATGAAAATCCTATGCAGGCATACAGGGTACCTTTGAGATATAATATGCCTATGGGACTTTTGGTTGAAGTCTGTTGCTGTTAATCGAGCAGATCAAAGGTTCTGGCCCATTGGCCCCTCAGAGTGCTGTGCTGTTCACAGGTCTGTTGCAGCAGTCAGGAAGTTTGGTTGGAGTTCACCACTGGAAGTCCCAACTTTTACACTGTTCTCTCTTTTGTTTTTGTTTTTCTTGCTTTTTCCCTAGCAGTAACTGATTTTCTTGCATATTAGTGTGCTTCTCTTTGATCAAACAAACAAAACAAATGAGTCCCATTGCCAAACTATGGGTTGGGGTGGGGAGGGGAGGGGGGAAATGTTAGTGAAGGAAGTAAGAGGGAAAATAAATATGTGGCATTGCAGTGAAGTCAGGTGCTCGACAAAATAATGAAATCGAAGAAACCGGCACTCTGCCTGTTGAACAGTTGTTATCAATTTTTTGGGTTTTTTATTGATGGCTCAACACCTTTTATGTTCATTAAAAAATACATTTGTGAGGCAGCGTGGTGAAATCAGGCGCTCCTGAAAATAATGAAATTGAAGAAAATTGCATTTTTCTTCCTATTTGGCAACTTTTGTTGAATTTTCATTTTTGGACTCAACACATTTTATGTCCATTTAACCCTATCGGTACGTCGTGTTTTACTATCGTATCCATACACGTGGGGAACTCTGTGTCACCACTTTCCAAAGAGGAAATTTGCTCGTTAATCCAATCCATACGCTTTGCATAACAGTCTGTCAAAATGATTTTTTGAGAAATACTGAAAGTTTCAAAGAGATTTTCACACTAGAAGTATTCTAAAAAGTGAAGAATACAACCCCTGGGGTACAAAATGATCCCAGGGCGTACGGATAGGGTTAAAAACAAGTTGCTGTGTGGCTTTTACTGAAAAATGTTAATTAAAGGCACAAAAATACATGTTTACAGTTTCCAAGGACTCTCAAGCTTTTAAAGTCGCCAAACTATGGCGGCCATTTTCTCTCTTATTTTACCTCTAAAACTGGGTGACTCCTACCTCCTTCAGTCCAAACTTTCTCGATTTCTGTTCAAAATATGGATAATTTTTTTTCTTTTCAAATGAGACAAATGAACAAGCTTTAAGATGATACCAAAAGCTCCATATGTAAAAAAATTGACGAGCGCCTGATTCCACTGCGGCGGGACTCATTTACGCGTAGATTTTGCTGAAAAACGTTTGTGAAAGGCACAAAAAATGTAACTTTTTGCAGTTTCCAAGGACACTCAAGCTTTGGGAATCACCATACTTTGATGGCTAGTTTCTCGCTAATTTTACTTCTGTTATCATGCCACCCCAACCTGCTTCAACCGCAAATGTATCAACTTTTCTCCGAGATAGATGAATTTTTTTTCAGGAAAAACAAGGCGCGGGGATCACAGTTTTCCGCAGATCCGCGATTTTCTGCGGTTGCAAGAACTTCCCAAAATCCGCTCTGCGGTCTTAACTGCACTGTCATTCGTTCTGCCCCGGCTTTAAGTCAGGCCGCGGTAGACTTTGAGTGGCCTGAGATCGACCCTAAAGCGATCCGCGGATTTGACTAAGCTCAGCCTATCATAGACCGGATGCGAGTGAGATGGCTCGGCGGAAAAAAAAAATCTCGAAACAATATAAAAAGCATGCACTCTCCTTTGATTGGAGGTGAACTGGAACTGACCTTTCCCCTCATCTTTCAATCTTCTGTCTTCAGTTTGCATTTTGAAGACAGTTCTTTGTTCACAACGTCGTACAAAAGATATTCTGGTTTATTTTGCATTTTTTATACTGATGTGGGGGGGTTGCACAATTATTTACGGAAGTCTATCTGGTCGACAGTCGATGTTCAGGGGTTGGCGAAAAATTTCACTGTGATCCCTGACGATGAACAAGCTTTAAGATAATGCCAATAACTCCGTATGCCCAAAATTTGACGAGGGCCTGATTCCACTGCACCATTACACTAATGGGCTTGAATAATTAAACCTTTGGGTCAATTATGGATTCTCTTTTTTGTCTGTGCAGTTTGGAATAAAATATAGCATTTGTAGCAAAGTGAAACTATAGAAAAACTTTAAAAAGAAAAAGGGTAAAAACTAGGTGTCAAATTCATCTTTACTTTGTTGTACTAGGGCTCACCTCGAACTTAATGCCACATAGAATTAGACAGTAAGAGAAACGTTGGTTTTTGTTTCAGTTAATGCGTCTTTTAGTCTTATGTGGCCTAACATTTTTTAATGGAAACTGAATGAGAATTACTAGTTGGTCTCTGAAGACTGGATGATGTCGATGTTCCTCAAAGTTTCATGTCTATGTGTCTCTGCTACAGGTTGCACATGAGTATCAGAACCAGTCTAAAAAGAAAGACAAGAGTAAGAATGGGTCTGCTTTGGCTGTTGACAAATCAGGAAACAAAGAGGAGAGAACTGAGGGCAAGGAAAATGTCCAGGTGAGTCTGTGAATATATGGAAACTTGATTGTTGAAAGACTTAGCCGAGGAGAATGTTTTTTTTACCTTTTATTGTGAAACTGCGCACGTTAAAGATCCCTTGGTGGTCTAAAATCAATAAGAATCGGCTTCGGCAGCCACCCGGGCAAAATTCAAAGTTTCCTACCAACTGAAAAAATTTAATGTGTCTCGCACGCTCATATGACCTTATGCTGTTGCGACCGCAGTAAAACACTTACCAAAAAAAATATTTTTTAATGAGTTGCTTTTTATTGAGTGACAAATTAAGTATCTATCCTGCACTGCTAAACTTATCAATAATTCAAGAATGATACATGATACACATAGCAAGGAGTGCACACTTAAAGGAAATCAAGAAATACAAAAAGTCTTGATCAAAATGAGTGTACTGAATGTAAAATTCAGCACACCTTAGCTAACTGCCAATCCTAGACTTTAAAAAAAAATCTTTCATACTCAGGATTTTCACACAAGATGTAGTGTAGTAAAGGTGATATTTCATACTTTACTTACTTACTCTTACATCCTCTGTAGCCGTTAAGCGTCGAGGGGAGATGCAGTTTTCTATGGTAGGCCAGCTCCGCAACTTTACTTACTTACTCTTACTTTTTCATCCTCTGTAGCCGTTAAGCGTCAAGGGGAGATGCAGTTTTCTATGGTAGGCCAGCTCCGCAGCTCTTTCTGTTGTGATATTATGTTTTCTCAGGGTTTCCTCAACACCCTCAATCCACCTTTTGCATGGCCTTCCTCTTCCTTTATAGCCTGAGTGCATGATGTTGAAGGCTCTAGAGGCTGGCTTGCCAGGTGACATATGTAACAGGTGGCCAAACCATTTTATTTTCTGTCTTTTTATGAAATGCAAGTATGACTCAGTGCCAATAGCTGCTCTTACTTCTTCATTTCTCTGCCTGTCTCATCTTGTGTGGTTTTGCGGAGACATTTCATTTTGCATGCAGTGATTTTTCTTTCATGGGTTTTACTTAGTGTCTAGGTCTGGCACTGGTAGCATAATGTTGGTATGAATATTGGAGTGATGAGCTGTCTCTTCGTGTCCATGGAGATGTTTGGATGAGATAGGAGGGGTGCAAGCTTGTAGGTGACAGCATTGGCTTTTTGAGTTCGCATAATTTCTATTTCTCTATCTATAGACCTGTTTTCAGAAAAATGGCTGCCAAGATATTTAAACTCCTTCACCAGTTTCAGTTGTTTGCTATTGACATGGATGTTCAGGGGACTATGGTTTTGGCTCACTTTCATAACCTCGGTTTTTGATGTGCTAATTTTCTTGTTAAATTTCTCGCAGCTGTTGTTCAGTTCGGTAGTGTGATTTTGGAGGCTTTGTTGGTTTGGATGAATAAGACATTGGTCGTCTGCGAATAGAAGTTCATTTAAGCCTTCTGGGCTTTGGTTTGCGTCTTGCGTTATAGGTTTGAATCAGTGCGTGTATTCTTCTTTGTTCTTCTCGTAGCATGATTTGTCCGCCACCGGCTTTCTGGGCCAGTTACGGTTTCACCAGAGCCCATTTAGCCAGCAACGTTTTGGGGTGACCCAGGTCGGCCTTGATAAAGTCACACGGTACTTCACCCAGACAGCTATCCCCTATTTTGTCCTGTTTCCACCTACCCTTACAGGAACAAAGGGTGGGACTTTGGGAGGCGGTATTTCATAAAGAGGTCAAAAAGTGATTTTAAAAAATCTTGTTGCTAACAATGTTTTCCTGGAGAGGAGTAACTTATAAGTCACCCAGTTCCATTAAAAATCTGTTCCAGTCTCACACAAACAAGCACTGTAAATATACTCTGCGGAGGGAATCTTCAGATACTGTTTATGGCTGCTGGTGGATATTCCATGCATCTCAGAAAATAGGCCTTCTACTGAAAAGTCAGTTTCCCTTTGAATTTTGTGTTGAAAAGCTTCCTGTTCACTGCCTCTGAGATCTGGCAGGGGACAATTGCAGAAGGGGAAGAAAAATCCTTTCGTGTAGTTTTTTTGTCATAAGATTGCACCAAACACATCTTTTTGTTTGCTTTTTACTAAAGTTCATTTTATCCCTAGGGCTCTGATACAGTCCCTCTGATGTTCATCTGCCAGTATTGTGAACGAGAATTTGCCAGCTCGGAGAAATTGGTGAATCATGAACTGCAGCACTTAGTGGGGAACCACTTTGAGGTGGGTCTCTATTATGATAGGAAAGGCACAACTAAACAAGAAGTATAGATGTTATGTTTAGCCAAATACAAATTGTTATATATGTGACTTTGTTACAAAGTTTGTATAGATCCAAGTTGTTGGCGGAGTCTCTTTTTCTTCTGTTTTGCTATCTTGAAGTGGGTAAACCCTTACGTTTTGCATTACTTGAAAGGTCACTGGTGAAAATTTTGACAATTTACCCTTTGAAATGCTTTCAGTTTAGAAAAGAAGAGCATTTTTGCAAATCGTTAGCTTCTTACAAAGTCCAAGAAGAAAAAAAAATGGGGATTTTGCTTTTTTGGGAATTAGACCGGCTACTATTTTACTGATTAACCATTTTTGGTTTAAGCGGACTCCACTGTTTATCCAGAATAAGAATTTATTCAACTTGGGAAGGACTTGGCTCAATGTGTCCAGTGGTCTGTCTTCTCTTTTTTATTTTCATCACCGTGACAAAATACTAAAGAAGAGAAATTATTGAAACCTCAGACAACCTGATTTTTTCTATTACCTTCATTTTAATTCAGGATTCTAGGGAGGTATGAAAAAAAAACCCCCTCGGGTTTTAAAGGTTAATTTGTTTTATTTTTAGGCATCTCTGAAAGCGGTTACAGAGCAGCAACTACAGCAGCAGCAACGAAAGCTTCAGCAGCAAGTGGTCAAAGGAAGTAGCAGCGAGGCCTCCGCCGGTCAAAAGAAAGGCCAACAAGCTGCAGGGAGCAGTCAGAGCAGTGGTAACAGCGGCCGCAGCAGTCTGAAGGGGAGCAGTAAAAGTGGGGGGAATGAGGAGGGGGTTAAGGATTTGGCGGGTGCAGTCCTGGGTGCGAGTGGTGGCGCAGGAGACAGTGTAAGTATTGCAGGTCAAGGGAAAGCCTTCTCTCATCCCGACCTGGGACAAGAACCCAAGGGTCTCGGCAAGGAGTCCATTCTTTCGGGAGCAGCTGAAAAAACAGCCCTCAAGACATCTGATAGGACCAACGGAACTGGCGAGACTGACGAAGGACGCCATCTGAGCGATTCGGTGGTAAATTTGAGTGAATTGGACAAGGCGATAAGTAGTAGCGACATGAATCATGAGACAGAGAGAGCAGCCAAGGAAGTGTCTCAGGACAACAGCCCCAGCGAGAGAGGAAAGGAATTAAATGCTGCTGTTAAAGAGCTCGGATCCTTGAAGGCTAATGGTAAAGATGTGGGAGGAAGGTTGGAGGCAGAGGGGATAGGTATAGCCTCCGAGACAGATAAGACAGTAAGTGTAAAGGAACCAGTAGAGGAAAAAGAGGAACAAAAACGTGATGACAGTACTCTTATCTCCCAGCAGGAGAAGGAAGAGACGTCTGGAAGACCTGGCTTGGATCAAGGGGGAAAGCAGGGAACTGAAGAGACCTTTCTTATAGCGGAGACGGAAGAGAAGAAAGACTAGTTTCAGGGAGGTCCTAGGTAGACAGCAGATGAGTCTTGCAAGCATGGATGGCTAGGTCAATGGGAAAGAAGATATTTCCAAGGAATTATGTTGGGTTTTTTTTGTATTTCGCTGTAGATTGCTTTTTTTTTCATGTTGTTATTGTATAATAGTGGGTTACGGTAAAGCTGGACCAGTCATTTTTATCTACTAGATCTAGTGCATATTATCTGGGTTGGCCATCAGGGTCACAGTTTCGTCTTACAGGGAGAGGCACCAGAAAGGCAGTGATTGTGATACATGATGACATGGGAGGAGGGCTAAAATTTATTTTATCTTAACTCACTCACTGCCATGCCCGAACCCAGTCAGGTGATCCGCGTATACCGCTACCTGCCAAACCCGAAACCCGTCGGGTGCGTTTTTACTACTATTTTTCAAACATTCCCCGACATGTTCCGGGCTTGGCAGTCGGAGATATGCGACATAAGCCAGTTTAGTTTCAATTCCGCATTGTTGCAGTAACTTCCCTTGAATAAGTGACTTTTTCGAACTCACCCGAAACAAACTTAGAAACTACTAACGCTCAGTTACGATGGCGACGGCGTCTCAACGAGGTCTGAACATTTGAATTGATGGATCCATTCGTCAATATAAAAGGGTCAAATTTAGATCTTTTTGCAGATGATGGCGATGATGAACAATCATACAGAGTTGATAATGTGTATAGGAAAGGAAATAGGAGAGGTGCGGACGCAAGTGAGGATGAAAATTGTGCTAGATTTAGGCCTAGATCTAGAATCAGGTGTTCCCCATGCTCAGACCTATGATCCGGCGCTTCCCAATCCCAGTTCGGGCCCGTCACGCAAACGTCAAAGATACTCAACGTAGATTTAAGCCCCGGTTACATGCAATGATAAATTGTATCAGATTCTTTGTATGAGAGAACTGTCCGTTTTATCTAACTGTGTTGTCTGTTTACACGTTCCAATCTATCATTAAGTTTTCTTTCGATTGAGGAGATTCCTCGTCATAATAAAGCCACCATGTCTCTTTGCGACGACAGCGATTTGCCTGCTCTCTATGTGAAGGTTTCGAGCTCTGGACCTAATGAATGAAAGGCGAACACTGTACCTCTAGATCACGAGAGCCCCCCCCCCCCCTTTCCCCTGTACATTTTGATTTAGCAGAACAGTGTCTTTCGAAAAGGGTGGCCATACTGTAGGCCTACCGTGTTGTGCGTAGTGTTGTGCATAGAACCGGAAGCTAAAACTTGACTGCAGATGTGCTACGCACTGAGTGACCTTGATGCACAGCTTCACCTTTGACGATCGACTAAATAATAAAATTGCTAAAATATATATGCACCAAATCAGGTTCATCGTGAGCAACTTTGCTTATTTTGAGACGCAGAATCCGAATATGAAATCAATTTTTGCCTACTATAATTATTTTTAAAAATTTGAGCCCTGAGTTTAGTTCTGCGCAGCGGCAAATTTCAAAGTGAATCTACGTCACAGCGCATTTCCCTCAAGTCTGACTGTGATCGCACGGAAAATATCAAGCAGCTCTTGATTTCTCGACCGAGTCTCCAATCTATCGTTCAATCGTCCATATTTTGTGGTTACACCTTCGATTTATCGTATGATCGTACATCGTCCAGGTTTTGTTAAATTTATCGTTATGTGTAACCGGGCCTGTAGACCCCAAATTATAGGAATACAGCTGACATAGACCCTCCTAGGTCTACACAACAAACTTCAAATAGTGGTACCCCTCCCCCAGTGGCCATGCCCTGTCCTGCAACCACACACCCCGATGTTGATGCTCAGGATGGGTGGACTGATGACTTGAATGATTTTTGAGTTATATAGAATTTGTCGGATATCTTTTCATAATGACTCTTCAACATTTGTCTGTTGATGCAACATCTATTTCTTCCAGAGACAAAGATATAAAGGCATGCATATCGACTGAATGTACAATGCCCGCAATTGTTATGTAAAAGTTTTTTTCACGATTTTGCCCCATATTCACAAACTCATAAAATTCCACATGATAAAGGTATCACAAAAATTTTGTTTGATTTGTTGGGTATGTTTCAATGTTATTGCTTGTGGAAAAGTTCAATGCTGTGCACATAATAATAAGCTCACAGTGGCGTTTTGAAAATGATCCAGAAAGCCTGGCATTCCTCAGTTACCCAGCCGAAAATGCTTGGCAGTGAGTGAGTTATTAATTTTTTAGTTGGATACCCACAACTGATGGGTGGTTAGAGGATGCCACTGATTGGGGTTAATATCTATCTCAGGCGTCTGCCTGTCTTGGTTTTTCCCAAGTCTAAATGAGTATTATGTTGTCCATCTGCCTACCAGGACACACAGCTCAGTTGGTTTCATGCTGGGTTGTGTTGCATATATGGCTCTGGTTCAAATCCTTTTTGGGGCGTATAGACTTCATTTATTTGGAAAGTTTTTTGAGGCTTTCCACCTGTTGGAGATAGCTGTTCAATTCAGAAGTTCTGCTGCCTAAATAACATTACACTAAAGAAAGGGACTTCGAACCTGTATCCTACCCTACCCACCGCCTGCCTCTCTTGGACCCTAATCCCCACTCCCCACTAATGTAACTGTAAGAAGGATGTCTTCTCAATGTATACAGGTTTTGGAAATACTTTATTTGATAAAGATTGTTGATTGTATAGGGGCCAAGGAAAAACATGAATTGAAAGGCAAGTGTTGTGTGGAAAAGCAAGATACGGAGAAAGAAATAGGAAGAGCAAGAGGTTTGATTTCCAGTTCATGCAGGAGTAGTCAGTGCGATCTTTAGTATTAAATAGAAATATATGTAAAGTATTGTAAACAAAGGATTGAACATTTTATTTTATTCAGTAAAAATGATTAAAAATTTTATCAGAGATTATTGTCCTGTTGCATAATACAATTTACTTGTTATTGTAAAATGAATACTGTAAAAAAGAATGCATATTGAGCATTGACTGTCGTCTATTGAAATTGAAAGGGATTAGAAATTGTTTGGGTTTTTGTTTGGGGAAGAGTGGGGGGGGGGGGGGGGGG